AGAGGAACGCCGTCTACCGGATTTTAACCACGCACCCCTCAGGGCCTTGTCACAGCCTCCCGTCGCTCGTGAGGCTCAGTCTCCTGTGGAACCCATGCAGCTGGGAGTGGGACGGCTCCCCGCATCTGAACGACGGAGACGGATGAGGGAGGGGCTGTGTCTGTACTGTGCTCGTCCCGGTCACCAGGTGCGTCAATGTCCGGGAAACGGGGGGGCTCACTAGCGGGGGGGCACCTAGTGAGTCGATTTTCATCTTCCTCCCCACCCTCTCGACCCCCCGTCAATGTGCTGGTGACCTATGGCCAGATGCAGAATGCTTATGAGACTTTGATTGACTCTGGTTCAGATGGTGATCTGATATCCCAGGAAGTGGTAAGCGCACTTTGTATTCCAGTAATACCCTTATCCCCTGCCTTGCTCATCCGTGCCATAAACGGTTCCATCATCCACAGAGTAACAGCACGCACGGTTCCTATTAAGGTAACTGTTTCTGGAAACCATTCTGAACTTATGGATTTTTATGTAGTGGATTCCATGAGGCCTCCGGTTATTTTAGGTTTTCCTTGGTTGTGTAAACATTCTCCTCACATTGACTGGTGTTCAGGCCGTGTGCTCTCCTGGAGCTCTTTCTGTTTGCTGAACTGTTTAACGGCTGCTGCTACACGCTCCTCTGTCTCTAACCCTCCTGTTGAACCTCCAGACTTAAGTTCGGTGCCCCCCGAGTATGCAGACTTGGCCGCTGTGTTTTGCAAGGTGCGAGCCAAGGCCCTGCCCCCTCATCGTCCTTATGACTGCGCCATTGACCTCCTACCTGGAACGCAGCCTCCTAAGGGCCACATCTACCCCCTCGCCATCCCTGAGCGTGCGGCCATGGAGGAGTACCTACAGGAGAGCCTGCAGGCTGGGATCATTCGCCCATCCTCATCGCCAGCTGGGGCGGGATTCTTCTTTGTGGGCAAGCGGGATGGGGGCTTACGGCCCTGCATTGACTACAGAGGGCTGAATGCTATTACAGTCCGGAACACTTACCCTTTGCCTCTGTTACAGTCTGCTTTTGATCTTCTCAGGGGGGCTCAGATCTTCACAAAGCTGGACCTGCGGAGCGCTTACCATTTGGTTCGTATTCGTGAGGGAGATGAGTGGAAGACTGCTTTCAATACTCCCAATGGCCATTTTGAGTATTTGGTCATGCCGTTTGGTCTCACCAATGCGCCCGCAGTTTTCCAATGCCTCATAAATGACGTTCTCAAGGACATGATCAACAAATTTGTGTTTGTTTATTTGGATGATATCTTGATATTTTCCCCAGACCGAGACACTCATGTGCAGCACGTCAGAGCCGTATTGCAGCGTCTTCTCGAGAACCAGCTGTTCTGCAAGGCGGAGAAATGTGAGTTCCACACAACACAAACCAAGTTCCTTGGGCATGTGGTTTCTCCTGGTTCAGTGCAGATGGACGAGGCTAAGGTACAAGCTGTTCTCGATTGGCCTGTCCCCGCGGATCGTAAGCAACTCCAGCGCTTCTTGGGGTTTGCTAACTTCTACAGACGTTTCATCAAAGGGTTCAGTGGCGTGGCTGCACCTCTCCATAAACTCACCTCAGCTCAGGTACGTTTTGTCTGGGACGTTGGAGCCAATAGGGCTTTTACTGAGCTTAAAAGACGTTTCTCTACGGCTCCTATCCTGACTCAGCCTGACCCCTCCAAACAGTTTATTGTGGAGGTCGATGCGTCTGAGTCTGGGGTGGGGGCCGTGTTGTCACAGAGAGCGTCTGATAACAAAGTTCATCCCTGCGCGTATTTCTCCTGCAAGCTCAATCCTGCAGAGAGAAACTACGACATAGGGAACAGAGAGTTGCTAGCTGTTAAGCTAGCCCTTGATGAATGGCGCCACTGGCTGGAGGGTGCAAGACAGCCTTTTCTGGTGTGGACAGACCACAAGAACCTAGAGTACATTCGCACGGCTAAGCGACTTAATCCACGCCAAGCCCGGTGGGCTCTGTTTTTTGACCGTTTCAACTTCACCCTCTCTTATCGCCCTGGCAGCAAAAACATCAAACCTGACGCCTTGTCCCGACAATATCAGCAGGACTGCAGGTCGACAGAGGTCCCGGGTACCACCACCATCGTTCCTCCTGTCCTGGTACTTGGGGCTAACCGCTGGGCCTTGGAACGTAGGGTCAAGTCTGCAGTTTCAGGCACGATCCCAATCCCTGATGGATGCCCCCCTAACTGCTTGTTTGTGCCTTCGAGTCTACGCCCCGCGGTGCTGAAGTGGGGGCACTCGTCACGCCTGGCTTGCCATCCCGGGATGACAAGGACCGCCTTCCTGGTGGCTCAGCGTTTCTGGTGGCCCACCATGTCCTCTGACATACGAGTTTTCGTCTCCTTGTGCCCTGTGTGTGCCAGTGCTAAAGTGCCCAGAACCCCTGCTGCAGGTCTCCTACAGCCTTTACCTATCCCCTCAAGACCATGGTCCCACATAGCCATGGACTTCATCACGGGTCTGCCCCGTTCAAGAGGTAACACTGTCATTCTGACTATCGTGGACAGATTTTCGAAGTTGGTTCATGCTGTGCCCCTACAGAAACTGCCTTCGGCAAAACAACTGGCCGAGATAGTGGCACGACATGTGTTTCGACTGCACGGGCTTCCTGAGAACATTACCTCGGATCGGGGTCCACAGTTCGTGGCAGCATTCTGGAGAGAATTCTGCAAGCTCCTCGGGATAACGGTCAGTTTAAGTTCTGGTTTCCATCCTCAGACCAACGGGCAAGTGGAGCGGTTTAATCAGGACTTTAAGACCACCCTACGAGCTATGTGCTCTAAGAACCACTCGACCTGGTCCTCACAGCTCCCTTGGGCAGAATATTCCCATAATTCTCTTGTGAACTCTACCGGTTTCTCCCCTTTTCAGGCTGCCTATGGTTATCAGCCCCCACTTTTCCCCCATCAGGAGAGGTCTGCATCGGCCTCCGGCCCTGCCGCGTTTGTACGACGCTGTCGGCGCACTTGGGTGGACTACCGCTCTCGTCTGGTCCAGAATCAGGAACGGTTCACCGCAGTGGCGAACCGTCGGAGATCAGCCGCACCCGACTACAAGGTGGGAGACAAGGTTTGGCTTGCCTCGACAGATGTGCCATTGAAAGGGGGTTTGAGAAAGCTCCTTCCTCGGTACATCGGCCCCTATTCAGTGTCCAGGGTCATCAACCCGGTGGCGGTCAGGTTGGACCTTCCTCGCTCCCTGCGGATCCACCCTGTTTTCCACGTGAGCAAGCTTAAGCCCTTTGTGACTAGCCCCTTGCATCCGCCCCCTGCGGCTCCGCCTGCTCCTCGCCTTGTGGACGGTGGCCCGGTCTTCAAGGTGAACAAGCTCCTGGCCTCTCGGAGGGTGGGTCGGGGCATCCAGTACCTGGTGGATTGGGAGGGTTACGGCCCGGCGGACCGCCAGTGGGTCCCCGAACGCCACGTCCTGTGCCGTGACCTGATCGCCCGTTTTCACCGGGACAACCCTGATCAGCCTCGTCGTCCGTCTGGAAGCCGGACCTTGTGAGGGGGGTTATGTTATGGGTTACTCCTCCTGATTGTTTTAATACATGTTTTTTCTTTCTCTGTGTAGGTTGGCTGTGGCTCTTCCTGCTGTTCCTGCCCCTCTTTGGAGCATCGGGGAATGCCGCAGCTGACTGCAATTTCCTGATTGCCACACCATGTATTTAAGCAGCTGCTTCCTGTGCATGGTGTGGCGTTGTTGTGAAGAGTTTCTGGTGTTTAGAGCATAGCTTTGTTTCGAGTCTGTGGTAGTTTTGTTTTGTATTACCCGTGAAGTCCTTTTCCCACTTATGTGGTGATTTTTTTGTTATTAAAAGTAATCAGTATAGGATCTGGTCATCCTGTCTCCTGCATTTGGGTTTATTCCTGTGTACCCTCGCGTGACATTTATATTATCAATTTCCACAAACTGTTGTTGGTTCGTCAAATAACTTCGGACCCACTCATGTGCTACTCCTCTAATCCAGGATTTGTATAATTTATCTAATAATATTACATGATCCAGCGTATCAAATGCTTTTTGTAAATCTACAAAAACACTCACCAAATATTGTTTATTATCTATTGCTATTGAAATCTCTTCTACTAAGTCAGTTATTGCTGTTGCAGTTGAATGATTAGAACGAAACCCATATTGACTATTATGCAAAACACTATGCCTATTAATAAACTTTTCCAATCTAACAACAAATAATTTTTCCAGAATTTTTGAAAACTGCGGAAGCAGTGATATTGGCCTATAATTAGAGTATTCGTGCATATTTCCACCCTTATAGAGTGGTATCACTCTAGCAGTTTTCATATTTTAAGTTCTCTCTTTTAGTTCATCCCATTTTTCTCATATCAGTTTTATGTTCATTAATGATAATGTGTCTCGTTGGTTTACCTCATTAGAGTCATGTTCAAAATGTATTTTCTACTCTTTTATGCCTTCTTAATTATTGTTTTTTCTTCATTTATATTTATTTGAAGAACTATCAGCTTGGCCAAAGCCAGGAACAAGATTAATGTGTGCTGGATCTGCAAGCACAATGAAAATGTTCAGCTTAATCAGACAAAAGGGTTTTAAACAGAGGTGTGACCAAGTCACAAGTCTTTCCAGTCAAGTCTCGAGTCAAGTCCAAGTCAAAGACAGTCAAGTCCAAGTCGAGTCCAAAGTCAATGATGTGGAAGTCCAAGTCCTTAACTTTGAATTTTCAAGTCATAATCAAGTCATCTGTCAAACTTCAACTCAATGACAATGATAATAAATAAAGTTCAGAAATAAACCTTCTTAAAGCTTCATTTATTTGCTCAAACAAGCAGGAAGTGCAACTGAAACTGATTATAAACAAAATGCTGCTGCATTTAGCAGTACAAGATCAAACCCAGAATGAAGAATGATTTATGATTTTTGTCCATGTCGTGTCAACTTTTGTGCTAAAATATCAAACATGCTCAAGTCAGCATCAAGTCAACAAATGCAAGTTGATTCAAGCCGCAAGTCATTGGCGTTCAAGTCTGAGTCAAGTTGTAAGTCTATAAATTTTATCAAGTCAAGTCAGAAGTCATTAAAATAATGACTCGTGTCTGACTCGAGTCCAAGTCATGTGACTCAAGTCCACACCTCTGCTTTTCAAATTAAAAGTTGACAGCAAAAAAAGAAAAATATAAATGGGTTCAAAGTGGTTAAAATAACCAATACTCAAGAGTAAAACCACTGAACATTTTACATTAAATCTTTATTGCTGGTTAGATAAAGTAAATACTTCTTTAATTCAAACTACATATAAGCCATCATTTAAAAATCTACTGATGAACCACAGATTCATTCTAAAATATTTTAATACACTTTTTATTCCAATATAGAGAAATTAAATATTAAATAATTTATTCGTGGAAATCTTGTTATCAGACATGTAAAACTACCAAATGATTCTTCTGTAGTGTTTGCTCCAGGTGTGATCAGGCGATTCTGCAGGAAGTCTTATCCACAGTTTGGGGCGCTAGGTTCTAACCAAAGTGGCAGTGTTGCATTATGGATGAGGAAACGATCACTTTAAATACAGCTTCTGTCCAAAGTTGAGCTCTTTCCACTCCTTTTTTACACATCACTCATATGTAACAGAATAATATTCTGAATACAAACAAAAACATAATCTGGAGGTAGGGTGAAGGGGTTTAAATGAAAGCTTACTGGTCCTGAAACTTCTGAGTGACTTGGTCCTCCAGGGCCACCCGTGCCTCTGTTTTCTAGCAGAAAACAAACAATACTTAATTATTTATACACTATTTTATTATATTATAGGCTTAAAACCTCTGCATGATAAATCAAATATTAATACCTAAACAAACGTGACCCAGCCTCCAAAAATAACTCACGTGTCAGCGCCATGCTACACATGTCCCCCCTGTCCCCCCCACCTTTTCCAAAGCCAAGTTTTGACCCCTGCACTTTTTACCATCCCAAAGCAATATTCCACTATATTAAATTGACACTGGTTGAGCTCTAGGACAAAGCGGAAAACAACTGTTTGTGTTGAAGCCCTTTTCCCATTAGAGCATACTGTAAAGATACCCCCGTGTCCCGTCCCCCCCCCGACTTCTAAAGCGAAAATGACGTCCATGATGCCACAACTCTTTAGTTCAGCATTGACAAAATAACTTCATGTTGCATCAGCTACATCTGTTTTCTAATAATAAACTGATTTTGATCTTTTTTTTGGCCATTTCATTGATTTTCTCTTTTTTGCAACATCACAGCTGATGTCTCATCATATTTATCTGAAAAGGTGAGATTTCTTTTACCTTTATTTGCATATTGCTGAGCAGTGCATCGTTGTTGAGCTGCTGGTTGTATTGCCATCCCCAGCCCACCTCGCCCACGTAGCTCTGCCTGGCCCTGAGTGGGTGACTGTGTGGTGCAGCTCGCCATAAATAATTCAGATCTTTTGTGGCCCCAGGAGAAGCAGCACCCACACCGATGTACAGGGGGAAGTAATTTGATCTTGGCCTGTAGTCTCCAACTCCATCTGGACCTGGATGGATGTTTTAAAAAGGTATAACAACCTGAATAACCTATACCTAAATTAAACCTAGAGTGCACAATTAAAAATAATAAATAATGAAAGTAAAGTCATTAGTTACAAATGAAATTCACAACTGTGTTTCACTGATTTAAACGATCTTTTAATGATTATCTGCAGGCTACATGGACATTTTAATTTGGATTTAGATGGTGTCAGCAGGTGGTGTCAGTAAGCATCATACCGAGTGTTACTGCTGGTATCCTGGATGAAATCTTAAACCAGTGGCTGTTTCACCTTTCAGTCAGTTCCTACATTTAGACTCAGTCCCAAAATATGTTTCACTAGAATGACCCTTAAGGTACAAACCTGGATTTTCTCACATTATTTCATTTTACATTATGAGAATAATAATAAATAAATTTATTTTTTTTCCTATTTTTAATTCAGTTTAAATTATTTAGGCATAGTTGAACACAAAACACAATATTATCATTTTAGAGGTAAATAAAAAAAACAATTAATTTGAAATATTGAAAGCAACTTGCTATGAATGTTTGGAATATTCTGAGGTAGACCAAACACATTTTATGTGAACTTACCTGTAAAAATCATCCTTTGTCCATACTGCGACCTCTCTTGAGCTGTTTTAGTGTTTTGCATTGTTTTTACTCTATTCCAACTGAATTATTCCAGGTTAGAAACAAAATTCTGGCCCCTTACCGACTTACAACAGGAATCCATCTGATTGTTCTGCCGATGGGGTCATGCCTGGTTGTATAACAACCACCTGTTGCCATGGGAACACTAGACCAAGTTACATTGTTTTAATAAGAAATACTTCACATGCTGAACCATCACCAGTATTTTGTCTTCACAAAATATGTAATTATCTAAAATAATATCTAATGAGAAATGACTTTATTTCATTCATTTTCTCATTTATATAATTTGTGCATTTTTTGAGACTCCTCAGGGCAAACCCGCTGCCTTTGCTTTCATTGAGATAAACAGTTACCTATTTAGTCGCTTGGTGGCACCATAGACTGTACATATACCAAAGCATAATGTATGCCACACGACAGCTCTTCGTTCTTTGTCGGATGGACTCGTCCAGTATGAGCCTCCTATGACTACATCTTTGTCAAGTTAAAAAAATATCACAACAGGAAGTGCAACCGCTTCACCACCAGACAAAAAGAATTTCGACATATGGTACAAAACAAGCGTGCTCAAATATTCTTGTACTCAGCTAATTGAATGTTTTTCTTTTTTTTTTGTCTTTTACCGTAATATGAAAAACAAGGTATTAGTCACATTTTTTACACCGTTATGCTCTTTCTCTGCATGAGAACCTATGAAATGATCTGATAATAACGTGGGGAGGGGACGATTTTAAGCCACACAACATGCCTCCTGTCTTTTATTTTGAAACGTTGCACAGGAAGTGCTGTTGCTACTTTGTTCCGATTTGGTAATGATGTCTGTCACCATGGTGGTGGCTTACAACAGAACACGGCAACGGCGGTCAATGTATCCCCACTTTTAGGTTAATTGAAGCGTCAGTATTATGAGTTTTATCACTGTGTTGAATATAACATTTATTTTTACCACGGACGCCATGTTGTTGTTGACGGGATAGCTTTTAGCCTTTAGCTTACTTTTTGTTTTTGCCGGATCCTTTATGGAATTTCTTTCCGTCGCTAGCAGAATGCTGAAGAGAAAAGGAACGGCTTTACCTAGCGCTGGCTTGGATAAAGAGACGCCAGCTTTGTACGGTTAGAAAAACAACTCAAAGGAGCAGTCAGAGCCTCGCGTCTAAAGGAAGTTTTCTCGCCCAGCTGGACTGATTTTGGAAGCCGTTTTTTGGTTCGGGACAGTGAAGGGACGGACACTCCCGAGGAGCCTGCTTGGGCTCTGGCTCCAGTCGTGGCCTGGCTCCGGGCACTCCCAGCTTCATCCTCGAGCTCCGGAGCACAGCCGACAAGAGTAGAGAAAGCCCCAAAAGTGGGCTTGTTTGTGCATAAATCCACCTCTGTTTTTCTGTAAACGTTTTTTTTTTCCCCAAGGATAAGGAACTGAGTATATCTCTTTCGGCGTCTTTCAAAACAATGGCGTCTTATGTGGATAACCGCTTTCGGCAGGCTGTAATGATGAATCCGGCTGAAAGGACGCAACAGGTCAGTACAATGATGTATTTCTATTTGTTACTGATGCAATCGGTGCTTAGAAGTACTTGTTCCTGCTGTGTTAGTCAGTCTGTTGCTACAATGCAAACATTCGGGATACTTCACCGCTCTGATCAGCAACAGTTTAACTATTTATGTGTGCAACTGTTGCCAGGTTCCTGTTAACGTACGGAAACGTCCCGTAAAAAAATAGTTCATCATATGAGATAATCGTGGCTACTTAGCATAACAGGAGCTGCAACCATCATGGGAGCCTCGCCAGACGGACCTGTACGGTTTTTACATGGCTGCATCTCTGGAACTTTGGGGCCCCCTCCTTTTACATAACGGTGTCTAATAATAAACGAAAAGAAAGATTTCTTGGGAGCAGTCATTGATGCTGGTCCGAACGTTACAGATCCTGATTAAAACAGACGTCAGCGCACAAACCTGAATGTGTGGCAATTACAAATGAGCAGAAAAACCCAACTTCTTTGTTGCATTCTGCAGCTAAAACAGTTTGCTGCTCTCCGATTCCGCTGTGCAACTCCCCTTTTCAGTCCCTTGCTAATTCTGTGGGCTGCTGCTTTTAGTCGTTATGCAACAAATTGTATTTCTCAAAATATGCTCGTTTCTGGTTTGCATCTTTGGTTAAGCAATTTGTAAAAATGACATCCTTTCTTTTCAGCCTAGTTCCTGCTGCAAATGGATGTTGCTTCAGCAAAAGCTTTACATTAGACAACAGAATATACCCATAAACCTGTGGGCTACAGCTAGATGCAAAAATCGTGCACGTTTGACAGTTATGCTTGTCAACAGCTTTTATTCTGGCTACAACTCTGTCATAATTGAGGAAAAAAGTCATAAAGAGGTTCATGAATTTGTAATTTTTTAATTGATTGTGATACCATTACAAATAGAAATATATTTTTCCCGAATGAAAAATTAATTGTTTATTGTTCTAACATACAAACTGAGTTATATTGTTTTTGCACCCTATCTATATTGATTTAGCTTTCATTACTAAGGCAGGCTTTGGTGCATTAACATCTTAATTTGTCAAAAAGATATGAGAAGTTTTTGAAATTTCTCAGCTTGAACAATTTTAAGTTTATAACATATCAAAACTGATATTTTGTAACATTTAATGAATGAAACTTCAAAGCAAAAAATAAATAAGAATTAAATTGACAAATAAACAAAAAAAAAAACTAGCACCAAAAGTACAGCTTTTACAGTAAGCAACATATTTAGTCTGCAACTGTCATGGTATTGTAACTGATGTGACTGAATCACTATATTGGTATTTGGTTGTAATTTTCATTGACAACATAGTGTGCTATTCATGTGTGGAGTGACTGCAGGGACTCAAACAGATTTACCCTAATGGTGTTGGCAGGACCTCTCTGTCAGGATTAGTTAACAGACTCAAGGATCCGTCTTTATCTCAGGACTCGCCACAGTGAGGCTTGACCCTCTGCATCATGCTGTTGTCACATGGCAGGTTAAATAATTGACCACTTGACAGTTTGTGTTTTCACTGTCTATCAGTTTCCTTTGTGCAATTTTAGATTGTAAGTAGATGTTTTAGTCATACCAATGAGGCAGGATCACAAAACAGAAATAGGAGAATTACAAGCAAAGCCCTGCTGCACTTTATGTTTGCAATGGTGATATAGATCAAGATAACATGGCAGTTTGATAACTTTTTTCATGTGCAGCATTAATTAATTTTTGCACAAATTAAAGCTTTCTGTCCAATGAAGGAGTCAGATTTAGACATATGGTCAGGCTCTCAGTGGTGCGTTTTTGTCGTCTTGATTAGTCAAAGTACCTTCCATTAATACTACGCTCTTTACTTATTAAAAATAAGAAGTGCATGCTTTGCTCAGCAGGATGGACCGTTGCTGTCTGCTGTTGCTTCTCTGTTTAATTTTCAGCGGGTATCTGGGCTTATTGCAGGCATTTCTCCCGTTCTTTAGGGCAGGTGGGTAAAGGAACCACAAACAACAGATCTTTGCTTAGCGACCCTGACTCACACCCACATAACGACTGAAACATGTCATCTTTGTGCGGTCATTTGCACAGTGACCAACATCTAAGTCAATCCAGGTCGATCTTATTGTAATAAGCTGGGAGTCTTTATCCTAGATAGGGCTGCACGATATTAGGAAAACCTGCGATATTCGATAACCGTGCGATATCGATATTACTCAGATAAATGAACAAATACTAAAGTATGCAGTGTTGATGTCATCTGGCGTGTGACGTCTGCTCTGGGTTAGGGCTGTCGCGGTTGAGGAATTCCCCCTGCGGTGATTCAGGGTGGCTTAATATTGCGGTGTGCGATATTATTGCAGCCCTTTTTTTATTGCAGTACTATCTAAACATAATGTTTACACATTTAAAAAAGGTTAAAATTTGCTGTGCCTTCTTTAATAACACTTTACTGAATGCAGATCAAAGGGCAGTAACAACACAGATCGCAGTAACGTTTGTTTCTCCGACAGTCGGAGTCCGACTGAACTTAAAAACAACAAAATTCAGGAGGTTAAACTTTTAAATGCAAATTTGGCTGCAGCATCTAACAAATAAGAAACAAGTCCCCATTTTGTTTAGTTGTTTAAAATCAAGCATAAAAAATTACATGTACCGGGCGCACTATCATTTCACTTTCACACACATGAATGTCGGTGCTTTATAGCTCGGTCACGTCCTTGTTACCCACAAGGAAAACCAGCATGATAACTATATACGGTTTGAGAGAGGATCTGAGAGGGGTGGCAACATTTCCAGCAACACTGAAAACCCTCTTGGATGGTGCGCTTGTTGCACTAACGCACACGTACTTGCGTGCGACTGGCGAGCAAAGGGAATCTCTCCCGGTTGTTGCTCCACCATGTCAGGGGGTTTCTTTAGGGTGGATGCATTCCTCCTGCAGGTAGCGAGTGAGCTCCAGCTCGGCTCAAACTCTCTTCGGGACGGTTGCAGAAGCAGTGCTTGTCCGGGACTTCAGCAGGTCTCCGAGCATTTATTATTATTTTTTTGCCGCTGGTGGCAGCTCTGTCTCGGCCAAGGACTCTGGCTGCGCAGCAGCTGACGTACTGAAAACCAAAGTGCTCCCAAAGGAGCGAAGTAACGTTTCGTTTTGATACCAGTGCAGCCATCCTTCTCAACATACATCATTGAGTTGAACCAAGTTCAGTAATCGCGGTGGCCCATGATGCAGCGCGGTGGGCTTCTTCATATTGCGATATTTCATTTTTGCGGTTACCGCAACAGCCCTACTCTGGGTTCAAAGCAAACAAAAACTAATGCATGAATTCCATTACAACCAAACAAAAACTAATGCATGAATTCCATTACAACATAACATTTTTATTGCAAAAATATGCACCTGCTACTGTATTAGCAGCAAAACAACAAACTGCATGCATGCAGTTTCTCAGTGACTTTAAAACATCACCACCACCATAAAACTTTTTCTGATGCTCCAAATGCAGAAAAACATCCCTTACCAGGGTTTTTGAATAAATAAAAATATCAGAAAATAAGTTTAAATGTTAAATAATAGTTAACATCACTTAAATGCAACAGCAAATTCTCTCATTGCTACTGAACATTTTCTCCACTTATGTGGTTATGATATAAGGCTGTTGCTGCAACTGGAAAGTGATCTGTGCCGGGCCAAACTAGGAGAATATTAAGATTTTCTGAGGGAAAGAGAAAAACAATTGTCTACCTTTCAGAAGAGGAACTGGCAACAAACTACATGGAAAATATGTGAAAATGTTTGTTTTTAACCCCAAATTGAACAAGTTTACCTAGATCTTAAAAAGCAGCTCAGATGATGAAACTGCAACTATGATTCTGATAACAAGCTAACAAATTGAACTAGCTCCTCTTAAGACAACCGGCTAGCAGAGCTTCTGACTGACAGTTTATGTGCAGCAGTAAATCAACTATCCTGATTAACAAGGTTATAAACGCTCATAAATGAAAAATCACGTTGATGTGTGGGGTAACTTTTCCAGGCCCTCTTTAGCAGGGTGGGACTGGGAGGAGAGTGCTGTAGCCTTTTAGCTGGAAGCTAACCGAAGCCTGGGGCTAACATCACCACCCGGTGGAACACTAGCGACATGAAGGTGGGTTGGTTCACCGGCACGTGTCGTAGTCAGCCCGTTATTATCAGCTGCTTAACAACACCGAGCGGACTCACGTT